TCTATGACTTTAAAAATATTGCAAGTCTTGTCGTATACATTGCTGTCAATGYGTGATCCAATACTAATCCTTGCAGCAGACGTAAGAGTAAAAGTGGCTGAGATGTCCATGCAGCGAGCTAGTCTTTGTTTTGATTTTGATTCACTCAATTTACACCAATTTCAAAAGGGTTAAATCAWCAAAGTTAAGACCGAGAGGTAYTCTGGGTAATCGATGTCATAGGCAATAGCCCACTTCCGAGATATGCTTCGCTTGTCACACACAAAGGTTTCAGTATGAGGCTACGTGCGAAATTAAATGTATCATTTTCTCCTGTCACAAATCACAGATCATTAGTGCAGCTTTCTTATGACTGTGTAAAGTTCACGGCACGAACACGGTCGTGACACAGCAAGGGAATACGCCAGATAAATCACATTGCACGAGAGTTTACTCTCCATCCAATCAAATACCCGGAACACGGCATAAACACGGCGCGGACACGGTCACGCCAAGATCACGGCACTTTTAGACYAATCATATTCCGCGTGAAAAAATCAGCCAATTATAATTCTAGAAAGTATCACGGTCACGGCACGTCACGCTTACGGCACTGAGCTTTTCACAGTCATACGAAAACTGTACTATGCAGCAAGGCTTGCACTGAAACCTTTGTGCGTGACGAGCGAAACATATTTCGGAAGCGGGCTATTCAGTGGAGACTTTTGGATACAGACAAATGTAAAAAGAGTGATAAAATGTTTAGTTGATAAACTGAATCGATGTTCGAGAACTGCAAACTGTTTACCCCAAAAACCAGTCGGTCTCAGCTTCTATGACACCATCTTTTTGAACCAGACGATGTTTAAAATTAAAGATTAAAATCCACAACCTCACAACCCATGCCACAGAAAAACTTGTTTTCACTGTCAACCTCTGGCCTCAGTTAGTTCAAGTGTCATCATCATTCTCGAGTAGAATCGTCAAAAGTCAGTATAGTGTCTAGCTGCACGAAGACGTTGCTGATAGGCAGCTAATTCATACGATAGGCGTCTTGTATTAGACTTCTCTTCTGTGACAGCATCTTGGAGCTGATTTAAGTAGATTTTTAAAGGCAACATCATTTTTTCGGCTCGTTTAAAGCGCTCCGTACACTCGGCAATGGAATCTTCGACAATGTGAATACGATGGACCTGCTTCTCGTTTCTCATTGACAGCTGAGATGACCTGCTATGAATATTATTGATCCTTAGTTTGTACATCTCTTTCATATCGCTAAGCATTTTCGAACGAGCATTCATGGCGTTAAAGTGATCTTCAGCATTTTGGATAGCGGCTTGCTTTACGGCGAGTCTGCGCGACACTTCTCGAAGTCGATTCAATGCAGAATCTCGAGCGGCATTCACCTCTGTCATTTCATATTCGATGTTTTCTTTTTCTCGGATGTTTTCTTTTGTTACGTGTTCTGCTCTTYTCTTGTTGCCTAAAGATTCCTGGACAACCCGACTACGTTCGTAGAGGCGYCCACGTGTGTTTTCTAGTTTCGTCTCAAGCCTTTGTAATTTGTCTTCTGCGTCTTGAATGCGCCATTTCAATTCGTTGGACAAAATCTTGCTTTTCTTGTATCGCTGAGCAGCGACTTCTTTGGCTTCATTAGCATCTTTTTCTTGTTGAATGGCGCTTCGTACTTGTTCTTTCAATTGCTTTACTTTATCCTTCATGGAACCACTTCCTGGCTCAGCATAAGTCATTTCTGCATGAAGCTTTTCGAATTCCTTGACAGCTCTTGGAGACACAAGTGGCTCCCATTGATCACTTGAACTCTCACTGCGACTTCTAAACACATTCCCGCTGTCACTCGAACCAGTAGACGAGGTCCGTGATCTGGAATGACTCGAATCCCTTCTTGACATGTAGTCAATACCATGTATTGGATAATGAACTTTCCCATAGTTGTTTGATTCCGACAAGCTCTTCTTATGTGTGACTAATGACGGGTTAATCTTAGGTTTTCTTGRTATTTTAGCTGTTGGCTGGCCTTGTCTTATGGCTTTCAGCATATCAGAAGATGGGACTGGGACCGAAGACTGTGGGGTAGATTTTGGGAAAACGCAAGCATGCAGGCTCTTTGGCTGAAAGGAAATACAACACAAGTTGCTTTGAGATATAGCACGAGCTAAAGAGATTGAATTAAAAGTAACCAGCAGCTGAAAGCATTAACACTCTACTATGCAGGAGTTACTTTGCGCTTTACCCTTACAGTGGCTTAATTATTTTTTATYAGTAATAGGCCAATCAGATGTGAATATCTTCGTTACATACTCGAASACGAGAGACGTCAACATCATTTTGTAGACCGGATTCTTCCCCTTGGTCACGTGACCTTATRTGTAACTTTAGCTCTCTGTCTGTTAGTGTTGTTATTTGTGCTATTAATAGTGCGGTTAGCAAAGAGTTAGATGTGGTTAGCGTACATAAGAGAAAAGAGTTAGTTGAATGAAGTGCTACAGGCCTCAAGGAGGTCATGACGGCGTTTGTCAACTCCAGAAGGCGGACGGACCATTCCTGTGTTCAGAGTACGCCGCTGAAGTTCCCCAGCCATACTCGCCGGTTGCTGTTGTTCTGTTTCTTGGTTCTGTCATCTTGAAGYCCAACAAAACATACAAATATTCCCTACTTCATCAAAATGCAAACGTTGTCAATACTACAACATTTTACTCATCATGCTGATACATCACCATGGAGACTTGATCCTCTAGCTTGGCTGAAGCTATTTATAAAATACTGTCACAGATAGTTCATTCAGTAAAAATTCCTTAAACATCCCAGTTTCTAATTCTGTTGTACAGAGCTTCCATTTCGTGTTAATTATTCACGTGTTCAAGTGAAGGTCCGTGGAATTCAAAGCATTTGTATTCTTAGAGTTGTATATTCTTAACTTTACCATCGATAATAGCAGATAGAGTTACACTCTATTGGCTTCGAACAATTGTTTGAAGTCGAGGCATTTGGATCAATATAATGACGATATAGAAACTGGCCCAAATGCAGCAACGATTTAAGGCAAYGACCCTTTGCATGTGACATCAAAGCARCTCAATTTGGAGGACAAAAGAAAAGAAATGCAATCTCATGAGAATTGGAAACCTATTGTTATGTCCTCCAAATTGAGCTGTAAGCCGACGTAAAGGGTGTAATATTTGCTATGATGAATATTTTGATGCTTAAATGAGGCAAACCCTGAGTAAACGAGTCTGTAATCACGGTAGAAAGCAGTAGTTAGATTTCCAAAAAGGTATGTATATTCTTAGGAATTAAAAAAAAAAAAGCTTTAACCCGACACTGGGGTTAAAAATCTATAACCTTGTTAATGACGACAATTTGAAATGAAAGGCCGAACGAAATCCACCTTTCAGACAAGCCAAATTAACTTTAAAATGCTATTCATGGTTTTCACGGCGGCCATGTTGGAGGTACTTAACATAAGAATTGTCAATGAATTCTTTTGTCATATCCTCCAACATGGCCRCCGTGTCTTTTGTTATTTAATTCTCTTGGGAATGGTTGAAAACCATCAATAAACGTTGTAACGTTAGTGCCTCATGTGCCATGGTCGTTCTTTAACGACCACATAGAGCCAACTGCACCGAATGACAAATTAATGCTAAGAGGCTACAACTGTCTAATCTGTACTGTCAGCCTAACATGTGTAGGAAACTATCAAATATGTGATGTCTATAACAAAAATCCATKCAAAAAGTACATTTCATACAGCTTGCACGTACTGTATATGTTATTCCTTTGTTAGTACAACACTTAACAGGTTATTAATGACTGACTGATGTTTACTGCTACGTTCGTGCGAATGAAGGAGCATAGAAGAGGTGCGTTGTGCGTGAATGAATACGACAAAAGCTCATGGTGAACACAAGAGAGCGATAGATAAGATAGCCTTGTTTAGTCATGTACGAACCACCACTTTCCATACATCGGTTTATTGGTCGAACACGAAGCATTCAGAGATTATTTGAATTATCCTTTGAAGAGGGTCCTGAAGAGGGTCCTGAAGGGGTAAAATGGGAGCTGGGATTCAGCTTTTTAAGGCTGGAAAAATGGGATTTTAGGCACTGGGAGTGGGATTCACAAAAAAAAATCGAGAAATGGAAATGGGATTGAGATTTGAACACAACATAGGCTGGGTTTTGGTATTTGGGGGCTGGGAAATGGAATTAGGACCCCTCCCCCTCCCTCAGGACCCTCTTTGAAACTCCTTGCAGCTTTCCATGGTTGTTGTGATTGATCAGTAAAACGATGTATGGAAAGTGGGTTAATAATGTATCATTTAGCGTATGACGTCTTGAACATCTTTTTTGCAAACGGCACAGTGTGGAAATCCCAGTTTTTATTGCAGGAAATCTAAAAGCAACTAGTCAAAGGTAACAAGTGGTACTCTGTTACCTTAGCCTTGAATGCTTGCATAGAAACATGGCTAAACACTGATTTTACCACAAGTCCTTTTAGATTCCTTTTAGTTTGGCGTAAAMTTTTCACATCTCTGATCATGTAACATTGTTTTGAGAAGTGATTTTTTTTCGTTTCCCGGCAACAATTAGATATTTTAAAGGAAGGTACGTATTTTATTGGAGGGGAAGGGCTGGAGGAGGATTCGCAGTTAACTTTTTAAAAATGGGTTTAGCCACCCCCTCCCCCTTTACTCAGTAGCATATTCATGATTTTCATATTAAAAGGAACTAGYTTTCAATGTTAACAAAAATCCTCCAAAAATGTTTTTACTGACGGCCCTCCCTTCTAAAGTCCCACCCCCTCCCCCCCAAATAAAAATGTACCTTCCCTAATAACAATAGCGCAGCGCACTGATTCTAAAAATAGCTTAAATATTCGGACAAACATTGCATTTTGTTTAACTGCTACGAGGGTTATACGAACCGATTTTATTATTTTTACTTAAAGTTACAATAATAACCCATGTAAACTTAGATCAACTGCGATCGGCTGTGAAAATTATCTGCTGAAAGTAAACTTGTAAGTTTGTTTGTCCGAATTTYGCYTTTGTCTTCGTTTTTATGACGTCATGACTGCGCTGCGCTATTGTTCATTGCTGTGAAAATATTATGTTCAATCTGTTATACAGATTTATTGCAATAGACCTAATTCGTCTCGGTGCRAAGTTAACCCATTTCAGATCCCGTGTCATTCCCTACAGTATAAGATTCTTTATTTGAGTTGTATCCATTTTATGTGTCTATTGTATCCTCTATTTATGTGCAACTGTTAATTAATAGAGAAATGATACTCTTGGGAAATGAGACGTGGTCCGTAATGGGAAAACATTGCAACAAGCTTTGGCATAATTTTTTCCATTTCAGACCACAGGTCATTCTCTTGAGAATAAGATTCTTTGTTAGACTTGTATCAACATTCATGTGTCTTCTAATGTGCAACTTTTAAACAAAGAAAAGATAATATTGAGAATGACATGTGGTCTGTAGTAGGGAAACCTTTTACCAAGACAATTTGGATCAATACCCCTTTTCTAGCATGTTGGAATGCAGCTCTGTAGGGAGTACATAACAATAGGTTTTCAATTYTCATGAGATTGAAATTCTTTCGCTTTGTCCTCCAAATTGAGCTGATTTGACATCACATGCAAAAGGTCTATAAACCCCTTGCATTTATTTCCTAGCCTAGAGGAATTGTTCTCGAGGACAAAACAATAGGCTGTCTTTTCTTATGCAAAAAAATCCATTCTTTTGTCCCCTAGAACAATTCCTCTTGGGACTCTTGCAAGGGGCCTATTGCTAGAGAGTAGCAATAAGCAAATTTCTTTCGTTGTACTTACCCCAATAATAGGCTGCTTACAAGAATTGCACTGAGGGGCAAAGTGCTTGTTGTAGTCTTTCTCACAGTAGAGTTTGCCTCCCTCCTCAATGAACCCTTGGTTCTGCAGGGAGTCACCACATCCAGCACAAGTGAAGTGATCTGGATGCCAAGACCTTCCAATGGCGCTAACAAAGGGCCCACTATCAAAATAAAGTGACACAGATAAAGAAGGGATAACTAGCTAAAAACTAGTGTGAGCTGCGTCRTTGGTGTTTCTAATGAAAYAGTTATGATAAAAGGGTAAATTATACACTGTGACACAAATCAAGGTTTAATCTTTTATGGTTTTGGCTTTTCTGATGGCTACATTTTGTATTATCTGCCACTGGAACAGTGACTGGGCAGCATTATAGTTGTGAGTGGGGGAGGGGGTTGCTAATCCTAGGGGCCCAGGGAACTGTACCCCCCCCGCATCCCTGACCCTAAAAATGTTGAAATGGAAGCTAAAATAGCCCTCTCTTGCCTTTAAAGTCCATGTGGTCTTATGCCCTCATTATAGTATCAAATAAATGTGAGAATGATTTTTACAATGCCACTGACCATGGAATATCAAGTAAAATTCTGGGGTCCAATTTTGATAATTTGTAGTTCTAGAAATCATCCCCCATTCCCCCACAATAGAGGAATTTTGAATTTCCGAGGAGTGGGTGAGTCAGAGAAAGAACAAAATTACAGAATTTGTATGGAAAAACATTGGAATTTTCAGGGATAGAGGGGGTCTCCTTCGGAGGTATGGATAATTTCTGGAACTACACAATAACAACTTCATGTTTTATTTCTAGGCCAAGTCCCACTTACAAGATTTCCTGGCCACAAGCATCACAGTATGGAGTACGAGATCCATCAGCTGGCTGAGGTGGCTTGATGGGCTGCCTTTTAATTTCCTGGTGCTGCCCTCCCCCATAAGCTGGAGCCCTTGGCGGTTGTGGGGCTGATGGTGGATGAGAGGGATTGTGCACAGAGGGGGCCTGAGGACGCTGGGTCTTTATCTTTGGTGGGGAAGATTGCGGCAAAGGTTCTTGTCTGGCCATYCCTGGTAAGGCTACTGGTGGTGTCTGTCCAGGTCGAGACATAGGAGGAGGTGCATATGATGGTTCATTAGTCGACCTGGCGATAGGAACAGTTGGACGAGATGGCATTGGYGTTGTTGAAGGCTTAGTACGGTCACCACGGTCACGACTGAAGACACTTGGAGGTGTTTCTAAACAAGAAGCAAAAACAGTCAAGGTAATCATTTCCAGGGTTGTCAATAGAAGCTGACAACCGNACCCTAAAAATGTTGAAATGGAAGCTAAAATAGCCCTCTCTTGCCTTTAAAGTCCATGTGGTCTTACGCCCTCATTATAGTATCAAATAAATGTGAGAATGATTTTTACAATGCCACTGACCATGGAATATCAAGTAAAATTCTGGGGTCCAATTTTGATAATTTGTAGTTCTAGAAATCATCCCCCATTCCCCCACAATAGAGGAATTTTGAATTTCCGAGGAGTGGGTGAGTCAGAGAAAGAACAAAATTACAGAATTTGTATGGAAAAACATTGGAATTTTCAGGGATAGAGGGGGTCTCCTTCGGAGGTATGGATAATTTCTGGAACTACACAATAACAACTTCATGTTTTATTTCTAGGCCAAGTCCCACTTACAAGATTTCCTGGCCACAAGCATCACAGTATGGAGTACGAGATCCATCAGCTGGCTGAGGTGGCTTGATGGGCTGCCTTTTAATTTCCTGGTGCTGCCCTCCCCCATAAGCTGGAGCCCTTGGCGGTTGTGGGGCTGATGGTGGATGAGAGGGATTGTGCACAGAGGGGGCCTGAGGACGCTGGGTCTTTATCTTTGGTGGGGAAGATTGCGGCAAAGGTTCTTGTCTGGCCATTCCTGGTAAGGCTACTGGTGGTGTCTGTCCAGGTCGAGACATAGGAGGAGGTGCATATGATGGTTCATTAGTCGACCTGGCGATAGGAACAGTTGGACGAGATGGCATTGGTGTTGTTGAAGGCTTAGTACGGTCACCACGGTCACGACTGAAGACACTTGGAGGTGTTTCTAAACAAGAAGCAACAACAGTCAAGGTAATCATTTCCAGGGTTGTCAATAGAAGCTGACAACCGGCAGATTCCACCATCTACTCAGTCAATTCCCAATAGACCAGTTTTGAATTCCAAATTACCGCTGTGTTCCTTGATTACAGACTCATTTGCACAGATGCAGGGTTAGCCTCGTATCAATGTTTAAATATTCACAAATACCAACAGTAAAGTAAAGAATGCACAACTTCAACAATACAAACACTTTGAAACTTGACGGACCTTGACTGGAACACGTGAATATTCTGCACAAACTCGAGGCTAACCCTGTGCAAATGAGTCTGTAATCAAGAAACACAGTGGTAATTTGGAATTCGAAACGGGTCTATTCTCTCACTAACTCAGCCACCTACTCAGCCACTTCCCAATGTAATTGTAAACTACAACGATTGTTGTCTGTCATCTTGAATTTTTGTGAGAAGAGTGAGACTGGTGACAAGTATGCCTTGATCACATGCTCCAGCGATTTCGATCCAGTTTACTGCCTATTTATATTTCTTAACCGCCTACCAAAATTTTTATTGACAACCCAGCATTTCATATTTAGAATTAGCAATGGATATTTATGATATAGTTGACGTACCTCCTGAATCCACAGCGCTCCTCAACATTTGGAAAGACTTGGATTGCACTTTCCCCTCATCTGGATCAACATCATAAGCTTCTGGTGGGGGTGGTGGAAGGTCATCTAAATGTAAATAAACTTTGTTAATGCATAGAGGAGTATTTATGGACTTAATCCATCTAGGCCTAACTTTTTYCCATCTCAGAWMATGTGTCTTTCTCTTGAGGACGCTCTCCATAAAATCGGAACCGATTAGCCAGTTCTGAAATGGTTGATAGATAGATAATTTATAACACCGTATGGTATGTAAAAATGAAACTGACGTTTCGGACGTTRGTCCTTCATCGGAGTAAACCAATTCTGAAATGGTACATGAYTTAGAACTGTACCTACGTGGCTCAAACCAGTTCTAAGGACTGACACGTACCATTTTAGAATTATTGGCAACTSGGGCCGATCGGTTTGACTTAATGGAAAGTCCCCTGAGATTCCATGTTCGAATAGTTGTATCCATTTTTATGTGTCTTCTCATGTGCAAACATTAAACAAAGAAATAATACTCTAGGGAATGACATGTGGTCTTAAATGGAAAAGATCAGTAAGTTAGGAATCCCCATTATTAAGTCAAACCCCAATAGACTACTACAACGACTATAATCTTTGCACTCACTGTTTATTTTACAGGAAAAAATATATAAGAAAACAAGGCCATAGCCACAAGTATATGGTTGGTCTGGTTTTAAATACAATACTTTTTACCATTCCCCCCCCCCCCACCCCCCTTGTAAAAGATATTTTTTACACAAGTAAATAAAAAAACAGGACCACTGTTTCGAAAACTGGACCACTGTCCAAATGATGGCTTTTCACCTTCAGCACCATTTTCCCCCTCATAAAAAAATTATTACACAAGTAAATAAAAAAACAGGAGCACTATTTCAAATACTGTCCACCACACTGTCCAAGTGGCAGCTATTGCGCTAGCCTTGAAAAATAATTATTAGTATTTCCGCAGTATATAAACATACYGTCTTCATGTTGCTGCAAGTGCCTTTGTAGCATCTTGAAACTCTTAGACTGTACATTTGGATCTGGTGGGTTACCCCAGTTGGGCACTTGGCTGGCTTCATCATAGTTTACTAACAGAAGAAAAGACACACATGCAATAAATATTAGTAGTTTATTCAAAACACTACAGYTTCAAGTTTTGTTGGAGACAAGTATTGACATAATGTCTGTCATCATAAGTTACAAGATGGAATCTCTGAATGATGGTACTATAGGCCGTTTTGCAGTTAACGGTCACGTGTCTGTACTGGAATGCAAAATTTTTGTTTTTATATTAAATTGGTGATTCTTTTTAGCTACTTGTAAAGAACTGAATRAAAACATGTGTATCCAGTGTGTTACGAAATGTAGTTTTATTACRATCTCTSGAAACAGGTYGTAGAAAGTTTGTTTGCAGTCCAGTAARTTYCACCCTTGGGAATCAAAATGTTCATWCATTTGCTCTCAGTGAATTAATCAGCACGTGATTGCTTAGCTGCAAAGGGCCTATTGACTGTGTGCACACATGCATGTAGCTAGCACCCTATACGTTTATCATGCATATGATTTAAAATATTAAAATGAAATATTTCAATATTTATTGGTCATAAATAAACATATTGCATTATATCATAAGCATATATGTCTATCAATTTATACCCAGAGATCCCCCCCCCCCCCCCACACCATACAGTAATACAAAGTATAATACAGAAAAATTAATACATCATTGTAATGGTCTACTTTGACGATATGGCGTCCATCTTTGATTGCAAAGCATTATGGGGCATCCAGTGGGAAAATAAAGCTTTGTTACAGTAATGACGTCCATTGATATTAACAGCACATCTATCACCTTTACCCATAAAAGAAAAACAAACACACTGTATTCATTTCCCATMATCTTTTTCTTTTGCCCCCTGGCAAGATGGCCACTGTATTGTCGAAATWGTCCACTAGCTAATGTATGTGGATTTACCTTCACCATCGTCTGAAATTGACAACTTGAACCTTTGAGATAACATTTCCTCTTCAATCTCTTTTTTCTTGGCTCTCATAGCAGCATCATTATCGATAAAATCTCGACCAGGAGGTCCACCAGTACTGGAGCAAAGATTAATAAAAAGATATGAGGTTTGTATATGTAACACYATAATAATATATATTCTTGAAACTGTCATATATTGTACTAGTACTTATGATACTTTCATTTGCAATATATACACATGACAAAGTTTTTTGGGTTTTCACTTCTTTTTYGTTAAAAAATTAAGTTAACTCCGATATCCACCGTGTCATCATATATTTTTAGTTTCTGCTTCAAGTGAGTYGAGCACATGCAACAATATGAGAGATTAAAAGAATAAAATAATGTGTATGTATTCATATTCAAATTGGGGTTTTGGTATGACATACAAACTAACAACCTTGTCCAGTAAAAACAAAGTTGTTACAGAAACTTAGAAACACTTAAATGCCTCATAACTGCCCAGGGGGTACTCCACTATATTCGCTATACGGGTAYRTGCTGCCAAACATGGTATGGTTTTCAGTGATTCTACTCTGGAACAGGGTATATAAAATCGCGCTCGCTCTGGAACAGGGTATATGAAATCRCGCTTTCTCCTCTCTGGAACAGGGTTTTCAGCGATCTTGCTCTGGAACAGGGTATGAATTTAAGCGATTTTGACTCTGGAACAGGGTCAGGGTTCAGAGGGCTMAGCGGCACATCCATACCCTAAACGGGCAAGAGTACCCCMGGGCATAACTGTACRGTGTACATACTTGCGTGGAGGTCCACCAGTGTAATGAGAATATGCTGGAGCCATGGGAGAAGATGGCTTGGGAGCAGTTTGGGGTGGTCCAGATCTTACAGTAGGAGCAGGCTGTGCTCCTGAAGGTGATGCTGGAGATTGTCTTGGGGGTTGATAAGATGTGGCCCCAAATGGCTTTGGAATAGCATTATATTTATGGTCGACYTTTCCTGAGTGTAAAGTCTCTGTCTTCGTTAATGGAGCACGGCCAATTTTTGGACTGTCTCCTCTGTTGAAAATTAAAACAGATAAGCCACGTGTTGAAGTCACAGGGACTACCTGATTTCATTTTGTTCAATTTATGAGCTGTTCAGTARATTTATAATCCCCTTCACAGTTCCATGCACCATCTTGAAAGGTGGCCGTGCCTTTGCATTGAAGCAAGACGAACGGTGAGCTTGCAATGATAGAGACCATTTTTAACACCTTGGACAATTATTATTCACATCTCTATCATTGCAAGCTCACTGTCCGTCTCACTTCAATGCAAAGGCAGGGCTACCTTTCAAGATGGAACCAGCAACTGCGAAGGGTTTTGTTCAATTTTTGAGTTGTTATGTAAATTAATTTGTGTCACAGCAAAAGAAAACTAGCTTAAGTGCAGCTAAACAAGGTTCAAGGCACAACAAGCTGTCATATAATCATGATAAACGTGTTGTTCACAAGTTGTAAACATGTCTGACTGCTGAGGTCCTATACACAATAATCTTTTCCCTCAAACCATTTTCTGAACATGGCCAAATTATAGTCTCATTTCAAACATCAAACTTCATATGAGCCAAACCTAATGACATCAAAGAAGACTGCCTTGTAATCCATTTTTTCAATTAGGTTTGGCTCATGGGAAGTTTAACGTTTGACACGAACCTTAGAAAATTGTCTTTACAAATTTKTTTAGAAATGTTTTTTAACAGTGTCTTTATTCAAGTCTGTAAACTATACTGATCATTTGGTGATGGAGCAAATCTCTCATAGCCGAGACTCTGGAGGCTGACAAAAAAGTGAGCTATAGCTATTTCATCCAGATAGAGGAAAATGGTAATAGATATTTTATTGATGATTATATATTAAAAATCACGTCTTTCAAATTTCAGCTTTCAAAGGGAAAAACAGGTAGTGTGGAGTTGAGAGAACTTGCCTCTCATCAATCAACCAGAGTTCAAGTCCCTCTGGGCTGAGCAGTGTTGTGTGTGAGTAGAGTTGTTTGTTGGTTCACTTCTGTGCTTCAAGGGTTTTTCTCCAGGTTCTCTAGTCTTCCTCCCTCCACAAAAATCAACTCCTAAAATTCCATGAGGGCCACAGGTTTGTTAGACACTGGCTATTAAGTGCTACCCATCAAAACAAGGATTTTTTTAAAAGAGATAATTATATATTAACAAAGATGTTAAAGAACAGATCATGGATAAGTGAGATAATTAGTTAACATTGATGTGCAGGGGTGTTAAATCATTTGCCAACAGCTGGCCATAAAGATAAAGTTGATATCTMTCTCTCTCTTGACTTAAATCATATAATGAATAAGATCCTATATTTGTTTCTGGTCCTGTGATATAGTCAAAAAATGTAAACTGCATTGAGGCAATTGTGAAATGCACTACATTAGGACTCCATAATTATTTATAATACACATATACTAGGATATATATATACATATGAAAACTATAATATATATATGGTTTGTTCTATATATACATATATATACTTTACATAAAGTGCTACACCAGTTTATTCTTAACTGGAAATTTGTTATATGCTAGAACATATGACGCATACAGAAGAACATATTCAGACTAAATATCAATAATGCTATAAATGAATAAAATATCAAAATGGAATATAAATGAATTAAAAACTCTTTGTTACGTTCTGTTCTTAGTGTCTAACAATCACATGCAGAATGAAGTTTTGTTCTGATATAAAAAGTATTCATGGACATCCATTCATCTCTGAACAATGATCAAGTGTACAATGAAAAGTTATTAAATACAATCAAACCTTCTATTGTGGTAAACCTCTGGGAGCAAAACCTTTTACACTACATACAGTATTTCTTGTATTTATAATGACAATTTGGTAGTTTCTGATATTTWAAAAAATGACAGGCCAATGTATCAATTAAATTTAAGTCACATTAGGAAAAATTATGATATAACAGAAGATTTTAAACAACTAAAAAATTAGTCTTAGACATTTATATGTAATGCTATATGAATAGTCATTATTTCTCTTTAGGGGTCCTTTTACATAATCCATTCTCCATGCTCCTAAGCAGGACTCCTTAATTGCAACTTATCGTCCTCTAARATTTCTAAAAATAAGCCTCCATCAAGATTAGGTTATCTTCATGGAAATTATAAGCTGCTGGAATAGAGCTACATGTTTTCATATAATTTGAACTACTTGCAACAAAAAGATATAATAATATACTAAACGGTGCTTTGCATTTTCAGACGAATGAAACTATAATCACAAAACAATTAATGATCCAATGCTTAACTTACTATAGCGCTGGACGGGAAWGGTATCGCGATAATAATCATTTCAACATTTAAAGTTCAAAATTGTCTTTTGTATAGCCACAAACRTCAACAAGTTAAAGATTGAGTCAGGATCAAATGCAAATACCAAATCCTCTAAGTAAACAGAAGTGTTAAGCTGAAATGACTGTCTTCTTTTTATCGGACGGAATACTAATGCTAAGCGTAGATGTGCACAAAAGTGTAAATACTGACAAAAAATATGTACAGGAATTTCACATTACTACAACCTTGAGCCGGAAAATTGTGCAGAAGTCTCCAAATAATCTGTTTTTATGGAAAGTAAAACATCGTGGTATTCAAAGGGATTGGAATGAGGTTAAGCGCATTTTGAGAATTATTTTATTTGATCGAGTTACAATTTTGTTTTATCAATGTAACATAGTTAAAATCGTAGAATAGTGTTTTTTAAACCAGCGTGCAGTCTTAGAAGAGAAAATCTAAGGGTTACTACAAGGGATCAAGGGCATACCTGAGCTAATAGTTAGCACCAGAAATTAGGAATTTACACTGAGGTGTAGTCGAGTGATAGTGAGCAATCATTGAGATGYTAGAACATCTAGAAATAAAACCAAACCTCGCAACTGCACACGATGGCTATTCAGCATTAGTATTTTAATATAACGGTTTATTTGGTTTCATATCTATTGTAAACGCATATTTTTTAAGAACTGAGACTCACATACCGCCTAACGCTCAAATCCAGGGTTGAACCAGCTCGTTTGATGGCTTCTTGTGCTTCAATGTGGATCATATTCCTAGTATCTTCATAATTGATGGATAATATTTGATCTTTTTCTCTCAACCCATTGTACGAAGCCTTTCCACCAGGAGTGATCTACAACCAAAGATCTCCGATATTAGCAAAAGGAAAATATTAATAAAAACCAAGATCACACATGGAATCATCTAGTGCGCGTTCCGTTTCAGTATCAAGACACAAATACTATGTGCACGAACCTTGCTAACGGTGAGTGGAGAGCCAAAATCTTTGCCTCCAGTCAGCCTAAAGCCCCAAGGACCACCGCCTTCAAGCCGTATATTAATGTCTTGGTCCGCCATTGTCATCAACGAAACAACAGCTTCCTAAAAACCAAAAGTCTGGCCGAAATTTCCCTTCAAGAGGACTCAAACATTTCCCTCGGACAAGGAGGGCTCATTAGATGGTTATTCTAATTCGGGTGGACCGACCCTAGCCATTGGTTAATAAAACAATAGATCGTTTAGCTCCATGGGATTGGTCAAAAACATCACCTACACGCCTAATAGGGAAACATGCTGAATATTTCAGGTATTTAATTGAGCTGATGCTGACGTAACCGGTGATTATAATCATTTATGGTAAGAGAAATGCCAAAAGTACATAAATAAGAAGAATCCAGAAAATTCTGTGGTTCAATACAGCAATTGTTTCATCAATCAGTGAGCACCCACAATTGTAATCCCACATGGTTTCTCCTTTCGTTCCATTTATTTTTAATTTGAAAATTAAGTTCTGAGTTTTTACTAGATATCTGTGTGATATGTCAAAAGCCAAACTACTTATTACCGTAAAAAATACATCGTACATGCCAAATATATGTTTTCGAAAATGACTGGTTTGACTCAACGGATACGGAAATAGTAGATAGATATTTTCAAGGTCATTCTTACGGACATTTCTCTTGGAATACATTAAACATAATATGAATAGATACAAATCGTTCCTTAGTAAAGTTTGTCATTCGAAAATAACAATAGATTTTTACTCTTAACCTATACAATAGTATTGCGGGTGACCCCGTCATTTCCTCTATCGTTACCGCGATTCAGCAAGGCTTGTTTTTATTGTGACGTATCGCGGGCCAAAGCAATGTTATTTTGAATTGATTCTTTTTATTGTGTCTACATACGGCAGCCAAAACTACTCGTTCCTAGCTACCAGCTGTCTCCTTTTCCGCTTCTATTTTATTACTTCGAAGTTATTTATCTTCTTGATATGTTTGCCGAGTTTATTATTATCATCATTATCATCATCATCATCATTATCATTATTATTACTATTATTATTATCATTATTATTATCATTATTATTATTTGATTATTTATCTATTTTATAATAGTTAATGGAATGGAATGGTTTGGAAACTTCATAGAACAAAGCTATTGTTTTGCCTTTCATGTTGAATCGTACCATCACGTGTTACTGACGGTGGACAATGAACCAAACCAAATATGGCTGAAAATACTCATTTCCTTATTATTTTCATGTATGAACACTTTGAAAGTAAAAACTTTCATTCCATGACCAAAAACCATGCGAATAAATATTTCCGCGCGTATATAGATAATAAATAAGAAAGCATTAAAAAGGGCAATTTCATTTTCAATAAACAATTAATATTAATCATATAGGATTAATTAACAAATAATACATATTTTAGAACGGTTTTTAAGGGTAAAAAATCTTTTATATTCTCTCTGATACTGTGAACAAATGGAGAAACTTTTCCTTCGTTGTGCACTGTCAACGTCATATAACAATGGATAAAGACGAACAAAAACATAGAACAATTGCCGGTTTTCACATGACGTCATCAAAACATCAAAATCTAAACTATAGATCGTATAAAGGCATTTCTCAAGTATGTTTTAGAAATCAGTGTTATAAGTCACAAGAAAACATTTCGAGTCATGTCGATGTTTGGTTCTCGAGTTATGAAGGTTGAGTTTGTGTCACGCAATACCGTCACGTCTATCTAAATAGCGATGAAAATATTAAAATAATTTACTCTAGTTAAAAGATTTTCCCTTAGACACGTTTTAAAGATCTATTTAAAGAATATTTAAGTGAAATATAGTCAAAAATATTTAAAATGCCATCATCTTAAGCCTTTGAAATTTCGTCCGCCATGATGGTGTACATAAGAACTTGGAACACCAAGATGGTCGCTCCATACATTTTAACCAAAAATTGCGTCATGTTTACTCGCCTCTAGTTCCGCAACGAAATGCTTTACAGCCTCAAAATTTGGCTGGAATGTGTAGTTTTGACCGCTTTACAAGATTATAAAACTTTTATTTCATTATGATGCGAATTTGGGCTTTTGAAATTCATGATGACGTAGTGAAAACCAAGAATAGGTTTCCTAACCATTCCGCTTCATTAACTATGATTTTATTTTTTATTTTTTGTAGCCTGAACTCATATTCCATCCGTCTGTTCTGTCCATCCATCCATTCATTCGTCCGTCCGTCCGTCCGTCCGTCCGTCCGTCCGTCCGTTCGTCCTTTACTTTGATCCGTGTAGCTTCAGCTATTAATAGAAATACTCTTAAAACAAAACACTGATGTAGAGGAGGTAGGTGCGCACCGTTGGCCTCCTGGGGTACCAGCCTCGCAGCTGATCTTGAAGGAGCTATCGACATTAAATACGTTACTTTCGTAATTGTTACCTTTATAGCCATCCCCCGCTCCCCCGACACACACACACTCACACACACACTTCTCCTTTTGCACTGACTAGTCTCTTATATTTTTTCAGGCTTAGCCCCCAATTTTAGTTTGCTCCCTAACATGTTGATTTGTTTGGACTGAACCTCCGCCTAATTCAAGTGCTTACTCAGAAGTCCATGGTCTATAGCATGAAAAAAGTCACATGAGCAGGGACGGATCCAGGGGTGGTATTATTGGTGACTAGTCACTCCTTTTTTGCTTAAATTTCTCAGTATATCGTAAGTAACAGTCACCCTCCTTTTTCCTCAAATTCCTGGTAAAACCTTTGTGATAATCACCCCCTCTTCTAAAATTCCTGGATCCGCCCCTGATGAGATACAACCCATATTGTTATATAAGACAACCAATGGATATGAGCAGTCGCGTTCTCTGATTGGCCACTCTACCACTTGGATATCAGCTCATATAGACCTACATAAACAGAGTTAATACCTGTCAAAAGCAGTTTAACAGCTCTGCTATACAACAAGATGGCTCCGTTTACAAAGCCACAACATTGTTGGATTCCATTCGTGCCGGCAGCTATCGCCAAGTTTTTGGAAATATTTTTGTATAAATCAAATTAACTAAGCGTTATTTTCTCATATTCCAGAGAATTGCAATAATAAACCAGTTATTTCACTCACTCTCGTCGTACATAGGCTCATGTACAACTCGAGCTCATGGAATAACTGTTAATTATACCCAATCAAAGTGCATATGACATGTACACCATTCATGTGTGTTAACTAAAGGGATTAACACCTCAGCCAATTGGTACTTATCTGTAATACCCTACCGATCTCAAGGGACCCCCATACGGCATTGAAAAGTCTGGTACTATGGTTGCAGATTTGATTACAATTCATCGCCTAAACAATTTGAGTTCACAACACGAGTTTACAAACAACGTATTCAAGTAGCTGAATAGCCTGGAAGAACTTAAACGAGTATATGAAGTGCTAATTATTTGGTATATACACCGTATGGATGGAAATAAATCTTTGGCAGGGATCGATTGGGATCGTGTTGCTCGTCATAGAAACCAAATGCACGATATTGCTTTAAAGAAACAAATAAGTGTTATTCAACGAGAAAGCAAACTCATAGAAAGAGAACTACTAGAGATTACAAAAGTTAAGAACACTTTGATGCAAATTCGTTCTCCTTTGACGAAACGCGTCCTTCTTTCTGAAGCGAAGAATAACTGCAAAGAAACCTAACGACCTACAAGAAGCTATCAAACATCGAACAAGCGATTTTCTTCAAAACCAAGAAAAAAGGAGCAGAGTTTGAATAAAACTGAGTCAAGTGCAGCTATTGAGGGTTGTGAATTTGAAAGGGCAAAGTTAAAACCAATTGYTCAACACGAGGGAAATTCCTATCGAAAGCAATTAAACCCAGTAAGAAAATTACACTCATCACATGAGGAGAATGTGGCAGCAAGATTTAGTACTTTACCACCACCAGGCGAGGGAAACCATACACAATCAAGAAAGATATATTTTGGAAAACCTGAAAAGCCATCGGAAGAACGAGCAATGGAGAATGTCGAAAAACTTCAGAATCTGTCCGCAGACAAAAACTGCAGTTTCCCCCCAGTTCTTACGAGCAATTGTAATAATCTTAGAGTGCCAGAACGTRAAGCAAATATTGACGTGCATACAAAGCGTTCTACATCTGCAAAACTTCCGTCGAAAGATGTCTCTGCCTCTGTACAAGATCGTCCAGAAACTACAATGACCGTTGCGCTACGTAAGAGTAAGTATTCCGAACAGCTGGCCGAGTTATCCCAGCCATCTGCATCAAGAGGTCGCCACGAACAAGAAGAAGAAGAACGGCTTACTTTAACGATGGAAGAAACATTGAGAATAAAAGGCAAGTTTCGGCAAATTGGTCATTCGATTATCGCTACGGCTCTATTAAATGGCATCAAACAAAGAGGTAATTTATCCTCTGAAGCCATTCATAATATGCATAAACCAGTTATGGTAAGGGATAAATCAACTAACCAAGACAAGGAACAAGAAGGCAACGAGGACAACAATGTTGCACCAGTAAAACCAGGTTTGGAAAGATTTCGGAAAGTAACTCGTAAAGCAATGAATATAAATGCCTTTAACAATATCAAGGGAAGACAGAATTCGGCAAACCAGTTGCAACAACGAATGAGTAAGACGAACAGCGATGAAGGAAACGAAGGCAGCCAAGATCCACTTCAAAGTGTAGAACATGAAAAGAAAGACTTGCAAGAGAGAAAAAGGTTTGCAGGAGCAAGCCACGCCATTTTATTTGCAAGAAGTCGGGTGCAATGTAAGGAGGAAGGTACAGAAACACAGAATGAGAACAGGAGGGTAAATAAGAAACCACTCATGAACCTGTTTACTCAAGAACGAAGGAAGAAATTGAACGGTGTTGCTGCTATGGCAACTAGTCCTTCGGAGAGTACGTCATCCACGTTAGAACTGCCCGAAAAAAAAGTAGTCACTTTTCGTTAGATCATGCCTGGGAGTAATCATTAAATTCTGAAGCCTTCGATTTTTATGCATACTCTGAAAAGATTGAACCCTGAAACAACCTCTGGGCTGATATAATCAAGGCACTGCTAACTCACAGATCGAACTCTTAAATAACCCACCTCTGGATTGATCTAGGTCAGGGCATGGCAGTAACTCACTCAAATCCAATTGAAATTTAGCGTGTTAGGTTTCACGCTGGGGGAATTCAAAGAGACTTAACAAACGCTTCTAAATTTGATGCCGAGTCCAGGAATCAAACCCGAGACCTTAGAAGCAAGAGGAAGTATACATGTACTACCGCTACGCCATCCTTGATTCTCGAGTATATTTACTCCATAATTAAAAAATATCAATATGGCTGCCTTGTGAGTGAAAACGCTCTATTCCTGCCCGCATATGTGATGTAGAGTCCAGGAATGGAACACGAGAACCAAGAGTTAAAGTGCCTATCACCCTTCTGACAATTAATATTCTCAGTGTTTATTCTACATGGGGTAAGATGTGGAATAACCCGAAAATATTTCATAGTTTGAGTGCGGCTTCTTGAAGTTATAAAGGTTTTTCCATGCCATATGCTAATGCTGTGACTTATGATTTAATCATTTAATATACAAAACATTACTGGCACACATAAATAAAATGTGGAATGCGTCATTGTTTTTCCCATTGCTCTTATAGAAATTATTGCAAATTAGTTTTYACTCAGAAGCCTGTGTTTCGAAATTACGAGGAACAACAAATAACCATAAATGCCTTCTCATACGTCACAGCATTAGCATATGGCATGGAAAAACCTTTATAACTTCAAGAAGCCGCACTCAAACTATGAAATATTTTCGGGTTATTCCACATCTTACCCCATGTAGAATCAATACTGTGAATATTGTCAGAAGGGTGATAGGCACTTTAAGATACGGAGCTCTACCACTACGTATATGTATAACTCTTAATTGTCCAAGTAAGAACTAAATTTTAGTGACTAGATTATTTGTAGTCCGACACAAACTGATTCAATCGAGTAAATTAGACGCCAAAATACTTTATTTGTTTCCACTGTTAACCTTTAAAAATATTGAATACTTTACCTACAATAATAATACTTGACAAAAGAAATAAACTTTTACGCATGTAACTCATGCCAGCATTTAACCATTTTTCTGTGGTTGGACATCATTTCCATCCAATGATCGCACTCTCTTCCTCTAGCGTACATCCTCCCCCCTAAGAGAATCCTCCCTATTAGTTTGTCCTCCATTGCTGCTCCACCACTGTGCATAACAGAAACTAGAATTGTACTATTGTTAAGGTCCTCCTCTGTTACCGTGAAGTTGAAGGCCTCGTTAAACATGGGGCTCATAGTCTCTTTATGGACAGCGGTTCTTTTGGTTTTCATGATCTTGTTCCCGATGGAAAAGGAGACTTTGACGAAAGTTTCTAAAAATTAGAAGAGAAGAGAACATAGTAAAAAAAGGATATAATATATTGTGGTGTGTCTAAGAGAGGCACAGCTTGTCTTGGACCGAATAGAGGTTTTGCACCATCACGTGTCGGCGCCCATAAAACAGATTGGGCTGCATGCGGTTAGATGGCAGAACAATAAAATCCCCTTGCTCTCGGGAATTTAGGTTCTTTTCATGTAAAAGGAATGTATTGTTCCTGCCATCTAACATGGCTGCCGTCCGTAAAGGTACAAAGCCTCTATACAGACTGCATTCAGTGGGTCAAACAAAAAGCATTCATTCGAGGCTGCTGAAAGGTTCGAATTTGAATAATCCTTTTAAACTAGCTTGAAGTCTAGATTGAATGCTTCCAGTGAACCGATGTATGGAAATTGATAAATTACTAAGTTCTCTACAATATAATAACACATATTATATTAGAGTTATATTCTGTTGCCTTTTAAACAGTTTTGAACAATGTACAACAGTGTTAATTGTTCCATTTGTTTGGCGGTGATAATCGTGCACCATGGGATTGCAATGCGGACCAGCCAAGCCCAGCGCACATGCTAACATGTTGCAACGATCGATATTTTGTAGTTTTGTCATTTTCAATTTATGGAAAAACTATGGTTTTTCGACTGATATTCTTTCCTTTCAATGTAATCCAAGCCTTTATTTGCAATTTGTCTAGTGTCCGCATTTCGATCCCAAAAGACTTTGCAACATTTAACACTTAAATGACTGGTCCCGAGGGAAACACTTAGTTTTGTTTTCCAGGAATCTCGATGTCTCTCGAGGCGGGGCCTTGGCGTGTAACAGTGAACTCTTACCCTCTGACGTCATACATTTTGCAACGTTTGCCCAGAAACTTTTGGCGGGAAACAGTTTTATTGTTAGATGTCATGTGACCAGAATCAACCAATACGAGTGTGATCATTAGAGAAAACATTCCTGCTAGATAACAATTTTTTTTATTAATGGTGAAAAATGGTATTTAAGGTTACCTGTATCTCGCTGAGACAAATGTTTGAGACCAGTAGCCCTTAGAATGATGATTGTAAGGCGTTGAAGAGCAGGATAGTATGACAACGTAATGTGAACATTTCCTATTTCCACAGATTCCTGTGAAAGGTTAACAACAACAACAAAAAAACATTAAGAAAATAAGTTTTGAGCCGGCTTTCCGTCACGATGACTTATCAAAGTACCCCTCAAAGGAAGCACGCGTAAATGAAATCATCTCTTGACGTCTCGGCTATGTCGATAATGTGCCTTCTTTAAAAGGAGCTTATTATCGGGACCTAAACCACGCTATCATTTGCATAGATGCGCATCAATAAAGTGCAAACCATATATCCGTGAAAACGTTCACTAACAAAATTGTACAATTTAGTGCAAAGTTTTGTAGGTCTACGGTCTACTGAGGTCTACTGAACTTACTAATTTGTGCAAATTTGTGCAATCTCAGTTTTTCACGGATCGATATATGGTATGCACTCTACCATCATAGAAAATAGATAAAGCATATATGAGGATCGATGCGCACCCCTGATGGAAGAATGATACACGTGTATTTCTGAATATAGGGTGCGCACATGTATATATGTATGAAGTGGATGCGCACACCTGCAGAATGATATACGGTGAACACGGGTATGTCTGAAGTAAAGGGTGCGCACACGTATATATGTATTAAGTGGATGCTTACCCCTGCAGAATGATACACGGGTGAACACGTGTATGTCTGAAGTATAGYGTGCACACATGTATATATGTATGAAGAGATGTGTACCCCCGATAGAATAATTGATACCATGTATGTCTGGAGTATAGCGTGCACACATGTATATATGTATGAAGTGGATGCGCACCCCAGCAGAATGATACACGGGTGAACACAGGTATGTCTGAAGTATAGCGTGCACACATTATGTATATATGTATGAAGTGGATGCGCACCCCAGCAGAATGATACACGGGTGAACACGGTTAGGTCTGAAGTATAGCGTGCACACATTATGTATATATGTATGAAGTGGATGCTTACCCCTGCAGAATGATACACGGGTGAACACGGGTATGTCTGAAGTATAGCGTGCACACATGTATATATGTATGAAGTAGATGCGCACCCATGCAGAATGATACACGGGTGAACACGGGAAGAGAGGCACACCCCTGATAGGAGAATGATACACAAGTATATCTGAAGTATAGGGTGCRCACACGTATGAAATCGATGCGTTACCTCTTTAGCTTTTGTTAAATCTTTTTCCAAGTCATTCTCCACATTCGAATCCATCTCTTTCAAAGGGTACAACACCTGACCTATTTGCTTTTGTTGATCCGCTCGATACCAGTCAATAGCTGTAAAACAAAGTGTGCATCGCTCGATTTGGGTCGCTGGAAGAGGAACGAAAAACGTCTCGTCGTAGACCGGATTTGTGTTTTTTCTTTTGTATCTTGATTGTCCGATTTGTTTATTTTGAGGCAAGAGTGAGATCTTCACCAAAGGGTTGCATTTAATTCCTGAATCGCTTCGATAAGGTAGATGTTTTGCTTTATCTAATACGACTTTTAGATTTTCTTTCACCTGATCGTATTGTACACTGAACCATATTCTTCCAATGTGATCCGATGGATATTGACTATCAGCTTCGGCACCAGCTCGTGATGGGCTCGGCTCCCGACTAGATAACGACGGAGATCGCCGCCCTTCGTTGTTGTCCTCGGCGTCATAATAGGTATCGTCACTGGATAGTGGAGTCAATGATTCTTCCGATGACATTTTTTGAGGAAGCTGCAAGGTATCTCTTYGTAATCTTGGTTTGATTTGTTGATTAACGATTTTTTGACCTGGTTTTACGGGGAATTCTGGTGGTCTAATGGATTCCTTAGCAACTTGGCTATATTCTTTGTACTTGGATGTCTTACGCTTCCTTCTCATGGTGCACAGAAAAACCAGAAGCAAAAGAGATAGAACACATAGTGATATAGAAACTGCCACCGCAGCCACGGGAACTAGAAAAGACGAGAGAGAGACACATATGTCGGGTTATTTTTGATTTCCATGATTTTGTCTTGGAGACGGCTATCATTTAGATATAGGTTAGCACTACGTAGCTATTTCTCGTCTGTAAGACAGGTTATTTCTCAAGTTATTTAACTCTTACGTATTCAATTTTGACTTTTTCTGGAAACTGGTTTCTTTTCGTCGCTATAACAAGTTTTTGCGCGGAACTCCTACATAAACGCCTCTACATTCTCTTAGGTATTTGAAAGGGTTATAATTTACAGCGTTTTGTCAGAATATATTTTTTCAAGATAAGTCCCTTTCATTTGTTTATATCATTGATGCTTGTAATCAGTGGCTTCAAGTATTAGCCTTTCATTTAAACGAGCAAAGGATTGGGTCCAAGTTTGAAAAACCAATTCAGCTAAATAGCTGCAGGACGGCAACGTGGGCGACAACGTCGGCGAAATTAAGGCGCTTCAGCCTTCTATTGTATTATTATTTCGTGTTTACCTAGTATTTTACTCAATAAGCATCCCCGTTTTAGAGTGAAATGTCGTCTTTTGGGAGCGCTTTACTTAAAACGAAAATCAGCAAAAATGTGCTTTTAGCGTAGCCGTTCTCTTTAGTACGTAAAATAGGACATCTTACTTTCAGCATAAGACGGCAATGATTCACAGTAATTAGAGTATATTGAATATCCCAATTAGTGCTATTGTATGCTTGCCGTCGTCGTCGTCGTTGCCATCCTGCAGCTTAAGAACCCTATTATTTCAGAAAACGTAACCCCATTACAAGAAAGAACAACATACAATAGACCGCGTTTTCTCAAGATTGCGTGCACTTCCAACTTGATGGGCCACGAAACTGAAAAACGCAGATTCAGTAAAATAAAGAAGCCAGTTTTAGAAGAATAATCAATTTTATGAATTCTTATCGAAAAATCTCATAGAGATGTAAGGTAATTCTCATTATAAAGCTCATTTTCTGGTATCGTGGCTCGTCAAGTTCCTTAAATTTGGATGAGCGCGCAACCTTGAGAAAACCGTCTATTCAATAAGCTTGTTGACCAAGTTTCAGGATGTTTGGCCTTATAAAAATAATGTTATAATGAGCATTGACCCTGCCAGAATTACAAAGAAATTTATGGTGTCCAACCAAACCGTCCAGCCACGCATACATGTTCTGTATTTATAAGAAGACTTTAAAATATCATAATTTTGTTACAACTTGGCTAAACGTGATCAAACTTTCAATTCGTACTTATTTTCATGTGATGACAGGTAGCCCAAGCTTGGTTTCTATGGTGTCATGTTATAAGGAAATGTATGGGGGGTTCTTCAAAAATTTCAATAAAATCATTGAAACGTGAAATAAAGCCTCGAAATTTTACCCGATCATTGAGAAATAACACTTCTTTCCCGGGGGGGAGGGGGGGGGGTACTCCCCTATATTTGCTATACGGGTATGTGCCGCCCTATAGGGTATGGTTTTTGGGCTTTTGGGTCTGGGGTAGGGTATCATTTTTTGACATTTTTTCTGGGATAGGGTATCATTTTTGTCTGGGATAGGGTTACGATTTGGTCGTTTTTGTCTGGCGAATAGACTACGCTTTCTGACGGCACAAAAGCAATAAAAACGTTAGTAAATATTGATTGCAATCTAATGAATAGCCGTCTTTTCCGTCTTTTAGTCTGGGATAGGGTGTATAATTCTTAATTTTAGTCTGGGGTAGGGTATGTAAAATCAAAATTTTAGGTCTGGGATAGGGTTAGGGTTTTGAGGTCCTGGCGGCACACCCCTTCCCAAGTTGGGGTGGTAGGTGGTAGCCCCCCCGGGCTTCTTTCGCTCCGTGTGGTTATTTTTTGAATTTAGCCCGTTTTAAGATATTTTCCCCCTATACGGGCTAAATTAAAAAAATAACAACACAGAGCGAAAGAAGCGTTATTTCTCAATGATCGGGTAAAATTTCGAGGCTTTATTTCACGCTTCAATGATTTTATTGAAATTTTTGAAGAACCCCCATACATTTCCTTATAACAGGACACCACAGAAACAAAGCTTGGGCTACCTGTGATGTGATCTTTCTTGTAGTGGGGTTAGTTTTTGAATTAGATTTTGAGAAGCTTGGTTCCAGTCCCAAAACAATTTTGTAGTTTTCGGTCACGTTCACTTTTTGAATACGTAATCTTTCTTTAGCTCAATGAATCTGAATAGTAAACCGGATTCCAAACTTGGATGAAGRTTTTGAACGAAGTTCTTTTTATGCTAATCAGCGTTTCCATAGCAACAATAAACAAACTTTGGGATACAGTTTTTCATATTTTCCTGGTTATTTTGGGCTACCCGTGAAAAGGGGAAAAATGCAATACTATCGACACAGTCTAGCACATTTTTTCAGATGGAAAAAGAGTTTCCAAGAGTTTCATTTGTGCAATTTTGAATAAAGCGTCGAAACAATTTAAAAATTTGTTCCTTTCATGTTTCTCGTTTTTGTGTGTGTGTTTTTTTTTTGCTTTGAAAACGCTAATAGACCCCTTTCGAATCCCGCAAATTACCGCTGTGTTTCTTGATTACAGACTCATTTGCACAGGGTTAGCCTCGAGTTTGTGCAAAATATTCACGTGTTCCAGTCAAGGTCCGTCGAGTTTCAAAGTGTTCTTTTTTTCTTTTTTYTTTTAAAGAAGGAAGGAAGCTTCTTTATTTTGCCACGGTAAAAACATCAGTCGATTGCCTAAAAATATTTAAAAGTAAAGATTTACGATTAAAAAGCTAGTTACTGTTTTACATGTTTGCCGTGTTCGTATTGTTGAAGCTGTGCATTCTTTACTTTTCTGATGGTATTTGTGAATATTTAAACACTGATACGAGGCTAACCCTGTGCAAATAAGTCTGTAATCAAGGAACGCAGCGGTAATTTGGAATTCGAAACTGGTCTATTAGCGTAAAAAGAACATTTTTCAAAATTTTCCTCCAAAATGAAATAACATTTTTCAAAACATTCAAGCCTTACATCTGGTGTAAAATTCAGATTCATTGAGTTAAAGTTAGATTAAGCGGATTCGAAAAAAGAAAGTGTTTACCACAAAAAAATTCCTTGAAATCATTCATTGAAAAAATTCCTGTTCTAAATAATGAAGCCACGTGACTGTCTTGATCAACAGCTGTCATTACATGCTTCTTTACTTTTTATTCACTGATGCGTTTCGTAAGATATACTTTACGAATTTAGATTTTTTCAAATGTATTTTTGTCAAACATTTCCCAATAAATAGTGTGGCTTTATTACATTACTGTAATTACATGCATCTTTACTTTTTATTCACTGATGCGTTTCGTAAGATATACTTTACGAATTTAGATTTTTTACATATTTTTGTCAAACATTTTCCAATAAATAGTGTGGCTTTAATTTCTAGTAAAGATTCAAAGAGAGAAAAAATTGTCGCTTGTGTGTTGAATTTTGGTTTGATTTGTTTGAGTCTTTTTATATGAAATATCAGTGGAACTAACTACAACACTTAATATAACTAATAAAATAAAATTWAAAAAAATATATTAATAATAATAATAATTAAAAAAAAAAACAAAAACACACACACACACACACACACACACTGAGAAATGTTTGGAAAAAGATTTATTCAAGTAATCTCTCTAATTTCTCTCTCCCTCCCCCCCCTCTCTCTCTCTTCCTTTCATTCTCTCTCTTTGTATTGTATTAGGGAAATCGAGACACACATTGAACACACCAAAACCATTTCGGTATAAGACAGATCTCATGACTGAGTGAGTTCAGTGACGAGCACCAACCCTGCATCATAAATAGTAGTTTTCCTACTCATATTTAATTTTTTTATCAGTAAGCACGAGTGAGTGACTGTACGTAATACCGGCAGATGGCATCGAATATTGAGTTTCTTTAACAAAAAAACAAAAACAAAATCTTTTTGTGAGTTATATTTAAATACTGCGTTCGATTATTCACTGATGTTGTTAAAGATTGTATTGAATTAATGTGATTACTTTGATTTCTCGTTGGAAATGATGAGGTTTTAACGTCGAGATAATTCCTACATCGGAGCGGTGTTGTACTGAATGGAGCTAGACAAAACCATACTTACATTTACTAGTAGAGTCTTGATCGCCAGACTCCGAGGGTTTTCCAGTATTAAGATTTGATGCAACGCCATCTTCTTGATCTAAATCAAAAACCATAACTAGTTTTTATTAAACCTCAAAAGTTCTTTTCTTTTTTCTGCGTTTTAAGCCGATAAACGGAACGGTTTTTCATATTTGCTTTCCTCTTTCATTCATGAAAACATATGTTTATATGCTGTCCTTTTAAATCCCACATTTGCAAGTCAAATTTATTTCTTCGGTGACACGTAATTTACACATGAAAAGCTTAAAGCGGAAAGGCGCCAGTCCAGACGGACTAGAAGATGACACTCCGCTAGCAGTTCATTCTGACAAGAAAAACGGGTTTCACTCGCTAGTAGATTGCTGAAATCATTTATGAAAAAAGCTTCAAAAAAAAAAAAAAAAAAAAAAAAAAAAAAAAAAAAAAAAAAAAAAAAAAAAAAACACAAAAAAACATAAAATGTTATAAGTGGGTGGTTATATATTTTACAATAAAAATCAAGGTAAAAAAGATGATACACAAATGCTACTAGGCAACATGACATTTATTAGATTAATTGTTTTTTTTTTTTTAATTTTAAAGTCGAAGAAATAAGTGTTTTTTTATTCCTCGAGTATATATTTTTTCTATTTTTTTCTTGTTGATTTTTGTTCATATTATACCGTCTGGCACTATTGCTTTAGGCGGTGACTGGTCAGCCACTACTTTTATTAAACACCTTGGTTTTAACTCACACAAGTCGTTAAATATTTCTAATTAGCGTTACAACATCATTGTAAATCATCCCCAAGGTTATTTTATGTATTGGTATATATTGTGTAACAGTAAAGTTAAAGTACCTCACGCTGATAAATACGTGACATCAATCAATGATCATGAGCGATTCTTGAGCGATGTCAACCATGACAAAAGCTTCTACTGTCAGACTGCTTTTAAATTCTATCAAAAGTTAATTTATTAAATATAGTTAAAACACTCATTAATAATTCATAAGCTTATGGTCCAATTGGAGCCACCATACACGTCACGTGCATGAACCTTTATACCCGATAAAGTCCTCTTCATTAGTATTCAAGTGATTTTATATAAAGACACGTGTCTTTATATAAAGACACATGTGATCTTTATATAAAGACCACTCGAATACTATGAGGATGACTTCATCAGGGATGAAGTATGCATCCAAGTTTAGATGAAGGCATAGAGCTTCATCAAGGCCATAGTCAATCCTAATGATCTTTGACTAACGTACCTGTCTTTGCCTTGGCACGCAATATCCAACGTGTGGGAGCTTCTATTGAATCTGGTTGCGCATGCCCGTGACGTCAAATCTCTATCGAAGTATAAAAATCCATGTTCGTGACGTGTATGGTGACTCCAGTTGAACCAAAATCTTATAAATTGTTCATGAGTGTTTTAAGCAGTTCAAAAAACTCGTAGATCGTGTTTAATCAGGTATAAAAGCACTCGGCTACGCCTCGTGCTTTTATACCTGATAAAACACTCCTACTCGTTTATTAAACACTACTAAATCAAGGTTTTGAATCATCGTGACCGCATGGCAGAAGATTAATTCGCTTGGGTTGTCAAAAACTTGATAAAACCATAGTATAAAAGACAGTAAATATATAAAGACCAAGTATCAAGTCCAGTGCTTCGGGGTCACTCAAGCGAATTCACTTTTAAAGGAAACCATGTTTCCTCCTCATAAAAGCCAAACATATTTTGTACCCTCGTACGATCTGGTACGAGTTCTTCACGATCTCTATACGAGCACTTTTCGATCTCTTACTGGCATTTTACGATCTTTCACGAGCACCTTAAGATCTCTTACAAGCCCTTTTTTATTTCTTAGGGTCTTTTACTAGCACTTTAAGAGCACATCACGATCTTTGACGAGCACTTCACGATCTTTTACGAGCACTTTTAGGACTAAACATTCCTTAACTTAGCTAAGTTGAACGCATCCATTGAGGTAACTGTCGTTATATACAACTGATATCTAGCGCTGGATTTTGTGACTGACTTATTCCTGCTTACAAATAAACAACTTCCACTTTCTTCCTTTCATCTTTAGTAAGCAGAGTCTCTTCATTTTCCATTCTGAAGGATTCCTCGGCCTGTTTCTTTGGGTTGCTTGATTTACGTTTGATAAACAGATAGACGACCAAGATGCACAGCGCTAGAATTATCATCAAGCTTAGCGTCACACCGATAGCTATGGCTTTTGTTTTATATCCTTTTGAATCAAGGAGATGTTCCACGGCACCTGCAATATGAAAAATACTGATTTTGTTCCACCCTTAAATAGACCTAATTACCTTCGTATGTAAATTGACCATTTTCAAACCATGTGATGTTTACATGGTTTCTCTGTTACTTTGAAACGTTTTCACATCCACACGAATATGAACAAATAAATTTCAGAAAAATAAAGGAACAACTTTCTAGAGAGCATCATGTAAACATCACATAATACGCCTTTTGCAACAACAAGTCACGTAACCCTAACCCCCGTAAAGAGACGCGTTGTGTCAACATGAACACCAGAAATGGAAAGAGCACCTCGATATTAGTAAGAAGGCAAAGTTTCAGCTTATAACATGCAACACAGGAGAAATGGCTTTCACATTCCCATACAAATCCTTATAAAATATTCGGTTTCAAATTCAATGTCATTTCTCCTATAGTCAACGTTATAAGCTAAAACTTTGCCTACTAATATTGAGGTGCTCTTTCCATTTCTGGTGTTCATTTTGACACAACGCGTCTCTTTACGGGGGTTAGGGTCACGTGACCTGTTGTTGCAAAAGGCCTATTAGGCCTGTAAAACTGATAAAATGATAATGACTAGCAGGTAGTGAGTTACGACTGCGTGGGTGTGTCGAATATAACAAGTGAACTAGTAGGAAACTTAAACACTGGGTGAAAAAGATTGAGAATAGTAATGACATGCCAGAAGTTAGTTCCTTCGTCGGAGTTAAAGAAGATTTTATTTTAGAGTGATTATTTCTTGAGTGGGAAACTATATGACAAATTCGTAGTCGTACTGTAGTTGTACCGTATCAAGCTTAATCATCAGTAATCGTATACTTACCAGAAGCAAGCTGGCAAGAAGGTGGTGCATCAGTCCATGTTCCATTACTCTTAATACAAAGTATTTGATCAGCACCAACCATCTTGTAGCCCTTGATGCAGGTAAAATGAGCAGTCACGTGATGTTCTGTTTCATTATACGTCGTATTTCCATTGAGAATAGTTACTTTCGAACATCCTGGAAAAATAGAATTTGTCAAAATGAGTTTCATTGATTTAAGGTTTTTACGTGTACAAGTCGACGACGTGACGTCTCGGTATCTTGTTAGAAACCATAACAAAATCCCACGAAAGCTTAATTAAATAAAGTTAAATAAACAACTTCTATAAAACCTCGTATTCTCTCGTGCTGAGCTGTTAATCTCAATCGACGTCTTTACTGTAAAAAAAAAGCTTTATTTCTCCCTCGGACGCCCCATGATAGCTAGTGATCCAAGATGGCCGCCGTATCGCCAAAGTAGTCCATTGCAATACTACTACACCACCCTTGAATCCCCAATGATCATAATCCATGGTAACATCATTAGACTCTTACTTTTTCTGCAGTAAGGTGTTGCACTACTCCAAGTACCATCCTCCCTACACACGATAGAATCTGCACCAACAAGATCATACCCTTCTAGACACTCAAACAACACCTCAGAACCGGCAGTGGGTAGTCGGCCACGTGACCTTGCTTCTCCGTTTTGGATCTTCGTTTCCACACTTGGGCATTCTAATATCAAATAGTAAACATTTGCATAATTTCCAATTGAGCCTTTTTCTAGATGGAAATTGTGACATTTCTTTTATATTTTTAATGTTAGATATTTTTGAAAAGGGTCAATATTAAAGACTTGAGCTAACATACTGGTCACGTGACAATGATATACCTGTGCACACTGGTCATGTGACAGTTGGTGTGTGTTTGTCTGTATCCAGGTGATGTAAGAAAAATTGTTAGCCAATCAGAATCGAGAAAATTGCAAAACTGAGGTGTCACTTGTCCTTAAAATTATTGATTTCCAGGCCACCAAATAAAAAATAACGTTCCTAATAAGATTTTGATAAACAGCGACGCAATTATTAATAAGTTATATATTTTTATTGCAATAACGGGCAAATTCTTTTATTTTTCACTGGTCACTTTTAGCAAGTTTCATGATACTTCAGTTCTGCAGTGACGTCATTTCTACGTCACTATTTCAGATCAGCTGGATACACTAGTTATTTGACACCAATGTGTGCTTGTCAATCACGAGATATGGTCGCAAGATATGGAACAAACATTAACAAAGTCCAGTGGCGGATCTAGGGGTGGGTTTGGGGGGTTGCAATTCCCCCTATGAGAGCCATCGTGATTTATTATTATTATTATTATTATTATTATTATTATTATTATTATTTTCATGATAACACCAATAGCATCGCGAGTGGGTGCCGAACGCATTTCGCTCGCTTTTTTTTCTATACGCCGTGTGTGGGACCTGAAACAACCATGCTCATTATCATACGACCTTTGGGAACCCTGTGCTACTTTCCCGCCAAACAAATACCTCAATCAATGCTACAACCCCCCCCCCCCCCCCCCCCCTTTGAACAAATCCTGGATCCGCCCCTGAAAGTAAGCCAGTTAAAATAAAGATTGCTGTATCCCTGAACCTAGTAACAATGGTGAAGCACCTTTTGAACTTTAGAACAATCTCCTTTTATTTGGACTCACTAACTCGTCATGCCATGTGTTCTGGCTTGCATCTAATGCGCATGTTACACAGGAATCCCACTAAGTATTCAACAAAAATAATTTCTACCTTTGGCTTCGATAGGAAGACAACTAGGTGCTGTTCCGTTCCATTCTCCTTGGAAACACGAAACAATGGACGATCCATTGAGGATGAACTCAGGCTGACATCTGTACCAGTAAGTGATGCTTCCTTCTGAATCATTTCTTTCGTAAAATCCGTTCGCAAAGTTTGCATCCAAAGGAATACAGCCTTGATGAACGAAAAAAACAAAACAAGATGTAAACGAGTGCACTACTTGCAACCATAGACCGTATTTGAGATAGCTAACAGGATGCATTGTGGTCTAGTTTCAATACAATCATATTTTGTTTATCATGTCTTATATGGTATTGTTTGTGTGAGAAGTGGTAACTTCGGGATCCCTGTGCCGCCCTACTCGTGTTCCCTGGCACTAGCCAGACCACGAGTGACGAGAGCTGCCATGTTTTGTTTTTTCGTTTTCTATTTCAAGTAGCATATTTCTATTACAATAGCGAGTTTCTACAACCACAGGGTAAGTCTTATTTGTAATCGGTCTTTAGTACAAGCTCAGACTCATTAGAATTTTGTATAATGGTCCCTTTCACAGTTCCCTGCGCCATCTTGAAAGCTAGCCGTGCCTTTACATCGAAGCGAGACGAACAGTGACCTTGCAATGATAGCGGAGACATGTGAATAATTGTCCAAGGTGTTAAAAAAAGGTCTCTGTCATTGCAAGCTCACCGTTAGTCTCGCTACCATGCAAAGGCACGGCTACCTTTCAAGATGGCGCAGGGAACTGTGAAAGGGACTATTCTAGGCCATTACTGCTGTTTCGCTTAATAAAACCGTGGAATCAAAGTAACCTGTGTCACATTTGTACTGAAGCTAGACCACAATGCAGGCTTATTGAAAATATGGTTGGATAGGTTCCCGAGTAACTGAGGTGCAAGAAGCATCATGGACGGTCCGCCTTGCATTGGGAACATAGTTTTCGCCTTCTGTAACCTCGGTATCACTTCGTTTTCATATTTTTTTCTCGTAATGTATAAACGTCATTGCAGGAACGTTGTCACTTAAAAATAACAAATAGAGGTTTTGCACCATCACGTGTCCATGCCCATAATACGGCTTGGGCTGCCTGTGGATGGATGGTAGAACAATAAAATCCCATTACTCTTGGGAATTTAATTCTTTCTCATGTAAAACGATTGTATTGCTCCTGCCATCTAACAAGGCTGCTGTCACGCGATGGTGCAAAACCTCTATTAAGGAATATGAATTGATTATTTTTTAAGCAAATTTGGTGTAATTATTTCACTATTTTGAAGGTAGGTATAGACTGACATAGTTTTTGATATTACCTTGTTGGTATATACGAAAACGGTTATTTTTATTTTATGTGCATGTAAGTTTTTACATTAGCCAATACCTTTAGTTTCTGTAATATTGATAATCTCTTGTAGCTGTTGAATGCTGTTTTTAGTCACGAGTCCAATATTAGTATCACCTGTTGCTTGAACATCGAATAAACACTGCACGCTATTACCACAAGCAGAACGAGCCTTTCTCTCTAACACTTTATCCTCAAACACCATGTTATTCATGTCCACGAAGACTGGAAGGAAGTTTGGGTTTGAGTAGGTTTGATGACTCTTCCCTTGTCCATATGTGAATAGAGACTCGTGAGCTTGTGTTGCCCCTTCGTAATAAAGAACAAAACAGCATGAGGAAGCTGTCGCACACAGGCAGTCATCTTGATGTTCATGGATTTGTACGTTAATTGTATTATCAATTTTAGCAAATATCTGACGACGAGAAAAATCTGACCGCGGTAAAAAAATATGACAACGCCGACAAAAAAACTGACGATGCCATACAAATCACAAGTCTGACTCTGCATTACGAATCTGAAAACCAAGAAAAAAATTAACTAAGAGAAGGAATCCGCGCGCCCAATCATGAGCACTCTTTGATGCTATTTTTAGAATGCATACTGCTCGCGCTCTAAGCTGATTGCTCATGCTTTCATTTTCATTTTCATYTTCTCTTGTGAAAATGCCATACGCATCTCAAAACGCCATACAAATCTTAAAACGCTACAAGAATCTGAAAATACCGTTACAAATGTGACAACGATATACAAATATAACAAAAACACCGACGCAAATCCACAAATATCTGGGTAACGCCTTCAAGACCTGAAAATTTACGGAATTTAAGGAGATTTTTATAAGTACGTGCAGAAATGTTATGCCAGTGAGAAGGAATTTTGCACAAAACAGCAAAAAAGTACCGTGACATGGACGAATATGTTTATGTGGGCGAACGGCCACACAGGAAGCAATTGGATGACAAAAGATTACGAGGGCTGCTAAGATTAGAAGAGGCCACAGAACAAATGTAGGCCTATTTTATTTATTTTCAGTATTTTATCATAAAACGCCCTGAGAAACGGTCTCAACATTAATTAAACCCAACATTTGTCCCAACATTTAGCCACAATTTGACCAACATTTAGCCAATACACCATTGTTTTCAGACCATGATAAATTGTTCCCCCAACATTCTACACAACAAATGTTGGCTTACATCTGGGATGAAATATTGAGACCATTTACCAGTGCCTTTGCCGTTACTTGTAGTTCCTACGATCACTAGACTAAATCAATATTTTCAGCGTTGATTCTTCATGAAGTGAATAGTTGAATGGTAAAATATTTTCATATGATTTGAGTGATGCATCTTGGAGATATCAAAGTTTACACTTCCAACAAGCTAATGAGTGTGACGTCAAAGGAGGCTTTATTGAATATACAAAACTTTTCTGGGCAGTACAATATCCTGTATAAGACATCATTGTTTTACTCGTSGTTTATTGATAGGTTATTGCAAATTTGTTTTTTTCATAATAATYAGTGTTTCAATTTACAAATGATGACAAATAAACTAAAATGCCTCCTATGACATCMAATCATTTACATATTAGRAGTATAAACCTTGATAGCYCCAAGATGCATCACTCCAATCTCATAATTTTTTTTWACCATTTMTCTATTCACTTCATGTAGAATCAATGCTGAAAATATTGATTTAGGTGTCATAGGCACTTYATACWTACATTTAAGACCAAAGTCGTAATGTAAAGACTTGGAATTCGATGATGTGTTTAAGAACGAGCCATTTGGAAGAAGGAATTCTTGATTCTTGTTGTCATCCCAGTATCCCAGTAAACCACTCGTATAACCTGTAAGTAGAAATTGGCATCTCGTGTACTATTGGTTGGAACTCGGGGTTCTTAGTAATAAAGAACATGGCGGATATGATGTTATGCGAAAACGAGGAATAGCCACTAAATAGAGACTATTTCTACATTTGATTTATTCATTGGATAAATACAAGACCTTTGCATTGCATTGCTGCAGAACAATGATCAGTTAAAAAATAAATCACYTTATTTAAGTGTCTAGTCGTTMTAGCGCTTTCGCACTAATTGGGGACACTTTTCGCTCACACGCACTACCACTACATTTAATATTCTATGCACGCAGCACTCAATTCACATGTTGATTTTTACGGAGGGAGGAAACCGGAGAACCCGGAGAAAACCCTCGTAGCATAGGAGAGAAGACACATCAAACAAACTCAATTCACATGTGGCGACCGCAGGGCTCGAAAACAAGCTACCCGACCCGTTGGACCCGTTTAGCCGCGAACGCCACCCATGCTACCCACAACTTACGTTTAAAATATTAACTTACGTTTAAAATGCTTTGGCATCATAACAGTGAACTGCATAAGAGTGGTGAATCCTTCAGCAATAACAGCTACTCCAGAATGGAAGATAGCGGAATACTTCGTGTTATTTCCTTCCTTTATTATCATAACGTTCTTAAAATCGACTGTTTGTTCGTCATCGAAATTCTCTAGCTGTCCATTCACAACCACGTCCAGAAACCCTCGGCCATTGAGGCGAATCTAAAGATGACACGCAACATTATAATAAAGAAAAAAAAACCCATTAAGCCTGGTGCACAACGCAAACGCAAACTCGAACGCAAGTACAAACGCGAACGAAAAGGCAAAGTCGAATGCAAGGGCAAGCAAAATAACGTGTGAACTACAGCAATGCAAACGCATGGAATGTAATCTTTACAATATTGTAATTGCTTTTAAATTTGCGTTTGCGTTTTAATGTGTGAACCGGGGAAAACGCAAACGCATGCAAAAGTAACTGTTAACTACAGTAACACACACACAAGCAATTCTATGTGTGAATTATAGTAACGCAAACGTAAACGCAAGACCAAAAATGTTTTTGATGCGAACACGTTGGTACTATTGCGCTTGCAAATCTTAATTTGCTTGCGTTTCATGTGTGAACACTGCTTGCGCTTGCTTTGCATGTGTGAACCATACGTTTTTGTGCCATAAAGCCTGGATCACACTAGCGTCGTATTCGGAGTCAGAAGGAACATACACAGACACAGTAGTGTACTGATCATTAACAGTGCTTGTCTTTTTTCACACCTAGGCGATAAATGTAATTCTCCGTATGTTGCTTTCGATTCCGATTCCGACGTTAGCGTGAACCAGGCTTGATGGAGATGTTAGAGTACCTCTATTGTATCTGATCCGTTTTCTTTCATTGCAAAGGCTGTGTAGACAGTAGCTTTGATCTGTCTTCCATCCCTTGCAGGAAGTGGTTCCATTCTACCTTGTAAGTGGAATCCAATGGTATAGACTTTTAGCAGCGTGTATTCACCATATCCATTGAAAGTGTATTCAACACCGTCTAATGTTACCATGTGAGGATCACCCACTCCTGAAGCTGTTAATAAGAAAAA